AAAAAAAAAAAAAAAAAAAAAAAAGTGCCTCCAGACTCCAGATATACCAGGGCACCCAGCAAAGCTGGCCTTTGGGTACACAGCCACTGTCCTCCTTATGGAGATGTTAGGATCTACCCATTGGACTAACCAGTGTAGCCCTTCTTGAGGTCCAAGCTCCAGGCACCCTGTCCTCTGCAGTTTGAGAAGCTGGGTCCTGTTGCCAAGAGTGTAGGCCCTGAGCCTCCTGTGTCCTCAGGCTCAGCCACAGGAACCACCACACCTCCCCCTTTTCTTGTTCCTTTGCTACTGGGGTTTGCTCTGCTAGAAATTCCTTCCCTGCTGCCCAGCAAACTCTCCCACACCCTTGAGAGTTCCTCCCCAAAACCACTTCCAGGAAGTGCTCCCCCTCAGCCCAGTTTTGGATCTTCAGGGTACCTGGTAGTACAGCAATAACCAGGACTCCTGTTTCATCTGGGCCAAATGCCCAGAGCCAGGGCTCCCTGAGGTCTATCACAGCTGCTACCAGACGAGCTGATCAGCAGAGTGTAGAAGGTCCTACTGCCCCTATTCCCCAGTCGCGCATGGAGGTCACAGGTGCTGGCACCTGGCAGCAACTGGGGCAGAACCTTGGCAGGGCTGAGCCTACGGATGAGGTGCCTGCAGAGTGGTCCCCTAGGTAGAACAGGGCAATAGTGATGAGGGAACCCACAACCACGCTGCTGCTCCAGAAAGTGCAGGGGGCCTGACACATGAAAGCCCAGGGAGTCCCCCAGCCCACTTGGCCTGCACAGCCTTGGCCAGTGTTCTGAGGACCCAAGCTGGATGTTCAGGTCAAGGCCCCAGGAAATGTGGTCCAGCCTTGATGAGTTGGTCCTCTGGGCCTTGATGAGCCACCTCCCTGGTGGTTGGGCAGGCTGATTCTGCCCTGACCCTCAAGACAGCAGTCCCCACCCCAAACATTAGGTCCTGGGCTCAGCAAGCAGCCTGACCCTCAGGTAGATGGGCAGCTGGTCCAATTCTCTTGGGGTAGCATGGCGAGGAAGGGGTGCCTTCCACAGCCCATCCTGTCCCAGGCCTGGAATCTCTAGGTCAACCCCAGGCTGCCATACCAGTGCCTATAGAGGAGAGTACTCCCCGCAGGATCAGCCAAGTGGAAACCTCCAGATAGGGAAAACTAGAAACGACAAGGAAACAGCAGGCCACATCTTCAGGACAGCCCCCTGGGGAGGGCACAGCAGCTAAGCACAAACCAAGTTCAAATTCATAAGAACCAACTGCATCTCAGTAGAGCAAGGGGTGGGCAGGTGGGGGCTCTAGGGTGGGCTTTCCTTGCCCACAGTCCACAGCAGGGTCCCCAGCCAGAGAGTGGGTCAGGGTCCAGCCTGGGGCACCACAATCATGAGGAGGCCTGGGAGACCCCCAGGAAAGCCAGGGATCCTCCATATGACAGACAGGACCCGCCAAGCTCAGCGGGCCCTAGAGCGCGCAGAAAGGGCCCGTGTCGTGGCGCTTGGGCCTGCGCACGCCCTGGATGACCACCCCAGGAACAGAGGGGAAGCGCGAGTCGTAGCAGTCCTCCACGTAGTAGGCGGCCGGAGCAGGAGTGCAAGCTGCAGAGAGAAGGTCTGGGAGCCCACGGGCGCGGCCCGGCCCACACCTG